GTGATCAAGGGATCCGTACCGATCATACAGGATACCAATGCCATACCAGAGTTTGGGCTCCTTGGGGTCGCGAAGATGGTAAAGGGCCTGCTGGTAGGCCGTGTATGCTTCTTGCAGATTATCGAGCATAAGATAGCAGTGTCCTTGTCAACGTTGTTAGTCTATGTTTTGAACCTTGCCTTTGTTGTGAAACCTACCGAGTGAACCCCATGACTCGCCGGACTGGGGATCGAGCTTGAGAATGGCCTGCAGATACTCGATGGCCTTCTGGAACTGCTCACGGCTGCGCAGGAGGCAGGAGATGGCACTCATGGCAGGAATAGACCACTGGTTGTGCCGAATGGCCTGTTCAAAGGCGTACATGGCGCCATCAGGGTCATTCATCAACTCAGACAAAGTGCCTACGCGTGTTAGTCTCAGAAACAAATTGAGAAAATAGTTATATATTCAAAGACATACCAATCTGAAGCCAGACACCTTCGTTAAGCTGTGCGATCTTCTGTGAAATAGTAGGTGGCATTCCCTTTTGAGGCTGGCCAGGACCTTGCTGCGGTGGACCAGGCGGACCAGGCTGCGGCTGAGGACCCTGCTGAGGACCCGGCGGCGGCTGTTGCTGCTGCTGGGCCTGCTGGGCCTGTTGTTGAGCGGCCTGCTGCTGAGCTGCTTGCTGCTGGGCCTGAGCCTGAGCCTGCTGCTGCTGAGCCTGCTGCTGAGCCATGGGAGGGTGGCCGTTGACCTGCGGGTGGTTTGCCAGGGCCGGATGGTGAGAAGGATGGGGATGCATTGGGGGCGATGGCTGTGGATGAGACGCCATCGCGTGTCTCACAGCCTCAAGGGCGTTTTTAAGCAGTGACTTGGACTGCTATCTTGCACTCTGCCAGGCACCCAGGGGACAAAGGAAGAAAATTGGAGGAAAATAAGTAAAATAAACACGGCGAAAGGCTTTTTTTTTTTTTTGGTCTTGTATTCACTGGTTAGCTGGCTTTGCTGCAGAGCGGACTTTCGCAAGGAGAGCCAAATAGGACTAGCGAGCAGGGCAATTGAACGTACAGAAAAGAGTGTGCCTTGAGATTGCGGCGACGGTGACAGCGGCAGGAGAGGCTGTCACGGCACCCGTCACGCAGAGGGAGCGACGGCGGAGGCGAAAGAAGACTGGCGGTGCTGCTGGGACGAGAGGTCGAGGAGCGCGGGGCGCGAGGTGAAGCCGGCCTGGACACAGCAGACGGGCGTGGAGAGAGTGAAGCTGGGCAGAGGCAGAGGAGAGGCCGTGAAGTGCAGAGGAGAAGAAGGGAAGAAGACGAAGTGGTAAGAAAGAGTGGGAGACGGGCTTGAACGAGGATTTGGCGCTAGTGGGAAGGGTTTCCAGGCGGCGCTTAGTCAGTCACCCATCACCCTAGCCAGCTCCATCTGACGTCTCCATCGCGATCTCCCGCTGGGGGGGGGAAGGAATAGCTCAGCGCCGCCGCATGGCTCGCAGCCCTCGCCGCGGGTGTCTGTTTCAGCCTCTACAGTCGTCTTCTTCCTCGCCGTCTTTCTGCTGTTCGTTATCGTCGCTGTTGGAATCCGAAATAACACAACTTGTCAGGATGTTCAGGACTGCCAGATCGGGCGTGGTCAAACCATGAAACAGGCTCTGCTCGCCCTTTCCTTCTTCGGCCGCCTTCGTCATGCCGCGCCCCACCCACCGGGGCCCACTTTTATTATTATGCTTTCTATGCTTTTCTTTTTTTTGCCCTTTCCTTTCCGATTTTTGCAAGCAAAAAAACATATACAAAAAACACTTTCCAGAAAAAGCAAGCACGAAGGGTAAAATAGTGGGTCCTGTCCTTTCTCCATGGTCCCCACCTTCCTGCACGCTTGAACCGCGCTAGTACCGCCAAGAATGGACCCGCCCGTAGACCCGCATCTTTGAGGAAGGATCCACCCGTGTCCTTCCCTCCTTCGTTCTTTCCCTCCTCTCAAAGCTTGAGCCGTAACTTTCTTTCTCTTTCCTTGGCTTATGTCAGCACCTTCTTCTGCGCCTGCTTATGTAACACCCAACGTGCGGGCTGCCAAGTACTGCTTATGTCATTCCATCCCTGCGTAAATTATGCTTATGTCATCGTCTCTCCTCCTCTCGACTTTGCCTGCGTTACTCCGTACTCTGCGTGTATCTCAGTGCACGACATACTAAGTATACTACGTATACTATTTATATGGGGCGATGCTGAGTCGACAGGCAGCCAGGTTTGGTTAACGGCCAAGTACCTGACGTGTATGCGATACCTCTCGCCAAGGTGCATGTCCGAAGCATCGTGAGCAGCCAACCCTGTCCGTCCACTCACTCTCCAGGCGCAGAGAAAAAGTCACCCGAACCAGCCAACAAACCAACGGTGCGATCGCATCGGGCGCATCCCCGGCCGCCAGCAGCGCCCTTGCTCGCTTGTCCGCTTCATCTCCTGCTCGTCTTCTCCAGCTCTCCACTCTGTGCTGCTTCCCTGGCTTCTCTCTGGCTTCTCCCTCGCTGCTCCACCGCCCCTGCTCTCCCGTGCCCCCGAAGTGAGCACGTTTCCATACATCATCACAAGCATAACACGCCTATATAAACACTGCAAAAGTAAGCCGTCGTTATCGTTGAAAAAAATAAAGATAAATAATAAAAATCGCACAAGGAACCGCATGCTAAATTATCGTTTGCTTCATTTCCCCCATGCTCGTGATGACATGACCTTTTTCAAGGCGAGAGGTTTCGGAGTACAGCCAGCGAGATATGGACTGGCTGCTGCACCACACTATTTGCTCTGGATGGCTGGCTGCTGCACCAAGTTTGACTGCGTGAGTGAGCAGTGATATGGGGTGGCTGGTTATTTTCATACTCCATTTTTTGCAAGGAAGCTGGCGACGATCCTCGCCACCGTCCTCACTCTGCCCTCGCCGTGGATGATAACTAGTAAATACGGATGGAGTGCTCGACGACTCAACTACTACATACTACTGCGGTTGCTAGCTGCCTGAGAGGAGCAAACAAATAATTAAAATATCTCGCTTTTTTCTTCGTCTCCTTTCATTTCTGTCAGCCTTCGAGAAGACCGCTTACATGCCCACTTACATATGATAGTGGTCTGTCCCAGCCGATCTGTCGGTCAGCCTAGGTCTCCTCGCCAGCCACCCTCGCATGCGACTGTGTCGATACGGAAGCACTCTGGGTGTGTCTCCTTGCAGTCACAACCAGTCGCAGACAAAAGAGAATCATGAGTTATACGGTCAGTATACGAGCTGAAGCAGATGAAATGGCGAGCACAGAGAGAGAGGGAAAAAAAAGAAAAGGAATCTGCTCGACCTGCACGTAGCCAGCCGCCCATCCATCCATCCCATCAATCTGACAGCCGGCACCGACCGTTCAACTTGAACAAGCCCGATCCCCAGCCCATCCCATCCCATCATTCCCCATTCTCCCCCCTGAAAAAAAAGGAAAAACAGGGAATCCAAAAAAAAAAAAAAAGAAAGAAATAAATAAAAAGAAATAAAAAGAAACGGACCAGCACAAATAAAATAAGTATATATAGGAAAAAAAGGAAAAAAAGAGACGAGTGATACCTGACGGAGCAAGCCAGCTAGACCAGGAGGAAAAAGCAACGATTGGGACAAACCCAAAAAGCAAAAAAAAACGAGAAAGAAGTAAAAAAAAGGAAAAGCAGAGCAAAAAAAAGAAACGAGAGTCGAAAAAAGGCGAACAAGAGAAGGAGAAGAAGCAGCAGCAGAAGAAGAACGGAGATGTGGATGTGGATGTGGGTGGGCAAAGAAGCAAATATAGTGCAAAAAAGGGGGTTGAGGTTTGCAAAAAATAAGGGGGGAGATGAAGACACAGACATGACAGCCAGACAGAGAGACCATCGACAGGCGCAGAAAGAAGCAGACCCAACCTCGCTCTGGACAAGGGGAGGGAGATTTGCGTTTACTTTTCGTGTCACGGACGGAGACTAACGTTGAGCATCAGACAGAACAAGCCGATAGTGTCGTTGGAAGGGGGATGGT